TGCCGAACCCGAATTAAAATATGAGTTAGTAACCCTGCATACCTCACATGCGTCTGTCTGTGTGTGAGCAGAGGCACAGATAAAGGGGCAGTGGGATAACGACAGAGAAGTGGAAGGAACCCTCTGGCTTTGTCTGACTGAAAGCGCCAATGATGTGCCATCTATGCGGTTTAGCTGACAAATTTTAATGAACATGCTCCATGAGTCAAGTGCAGAGAAGACAAAATGCTAAGTAGGTGACATAGTGTAGGATTAACTTGACCAGCTTAGCCAGAACTGTAGCGAGGGCAAAGTGAGAAAAGTGCCAGATGAGGGCAAAGGAACAGGAGCTCTGCCAGCAGCAGCAGCTGCTGCCCAAAAACAAGGGCTGCAATTCTCTAGCAACAGCTAGACTAAGGGACTGGGGGGATCGGGGAGAAGGAGAGCATTTTAGCTAAGAGCAGAAATATCTCACTGGTGATCTGACCTTGGTATGAACTGAAGTCTCGTCAAACTTGCAAACATTATGACTGAACGTGTTAACTGGAAGTGCCTAACGTCACACTATCAAACCCAGCCTCGGCAAGGACAAAGGAATCTGGAGGTGGGATATTTGTATTTCCCCTTCTGGCTCTGACCTCTCTTGGCTGTGGTTTCGAAGAGGGTCTGTCTCGCCCATGTTCAAGTATCCCAACATATAAACAGGGAACAAACACATTTACCTGCTTCTGTGTTTGTGCTGGGGATTATTTAGTTAATATTTATGAAGCACTAAGATGCAAAGCTCTAAATAAGTTGCACTATTATTATTAGAAGGGAACATGCTGCATTCCAAAAACTCAGGCAATAAAAATGAGCCAGTATGCACATCAGAAGAATAAGATAAAGCAAATTATGATGTAAATAATTAACAAGAGCTTAAAATGAAGTTTTGCAAGCATGGATTCAGAAACATTCTTAAAAGGTGAAGCATTGAGCCCTAGGACATCTTCTACAGGAGTACAACACACTAGAAGATCATGTTTGAAATCAAAAGTAAATTTATCAGCTACTGTTTTTGTTGACAATTCTTTTGCTTCACAGCACAGGAAGCGCTGGTTAGCAAGATATTTTGGATCAGCAAATTTCTTGTCATATGGTACAAACCACCAGTTATTATTAAAAAACAACAGCAGCAAAACAAGCAGTTGCTATCACCACATTTAATTTCCCTTTGCGAGTCTCCCCTCAACAATTTTTTGTCTGTTGGTAGTGGTTTTCAAGCTTGCAGTTGCAGCTCATTTGGAGATCCTAAGAAGCACAAAATACTGTACAAACAGTATTAGAAGTATGGGAGGAATTATAATTCTGCCCACTTTGCAGTGCAGTTCTGGTTGTGGAGACTTTGCATAGGTTTCAACATACAGTTCAGAAGCCACTGCTTTAAGTGTTGATCTTATTGTAAGGTCTGACACAAATGCTAGAGGAATTAGGGCTCTTGCCTCATCCCTGTTCACATCCTTTCATGTTTTATGGTCTGTGAGTAGTCCCATTCAAGGTTTCAATCCCAAAGAGATTGAAGACTACTCCCAGCTCATTATGTTCTTACAAGACTGGAGGCTCTGTATATACAGTTTGAAAACTTGTGTCTTAGCTACATATTTATGCATCTACAACAATTGCCACGTAGAAGAGCAGAGACAAAACTCAGGCCCAATCTCCGAATCCTCACTCTTACAAGTCATATTAAGAGATTACAATGCAACTGCTTGTGTGAATAATATTTGTGAGATCAAACACACAACTTTCATCAACAAGGCAAGAAAATCTAAGTAAGTGGCATAGTGGCTGAATGTTTATACTCTGCATAAGCTTCTCCTTTTATCCCCTTAAGAAGCGATTTTATTAAAAACAATGTACATTTTCAAACAAGTGCTGCTTTATTACTTAATATAGATCTTTCTCTCTCCTTTTGCTAAATCAAACAGCAAGTTTCCAGGCTTTCACAATTATTTTAGTACTTGATATCCTAAGGGATTGTCTTATTCAGTTTGCTTTATCTTTAATATACACTCATGTTGTTCCTGGCTGCGAGATAACTCTATCCTTCCTAGCTTTGTAAATATTTTTCTGTACAGGTAATACAAATGATAACACTGGGTCTCAGCTGAGGTTGAGAAAGCATGGGGTAATATCTGCCCTTTAAGAGGGAGCAGTTAAAGGGCTGACCTCAGGTCTTTCGTGAGAAGGGATTAAAAGGTCCCCAGCTCAGAGAGACAGCAGTCCACACTGCCAACCTGGGCGATGGTATTTAGCAGAACAGCCAGTGAGGCTTCCAGTTTGCGGTGCCCATGCGAGCAAAGGGTGTGCACAGCCTCTGGAGGAGGGGGCACCACCAGGGCTGCCCCGGAGTGGAGCGTGGCTGTTTCCAAGCCCTGTGGCATGGGTCCTGCATCCCCTCTTCTCTCTCCCTGACACAGCGCCCTTGTGCCAGCTCACCTGCGGAGCAGCACCCAGCCAAGGTCCAGCGGTCAGCAGGCCTGGTAAGAAAGCGCCTCTATGCTCTCCTTTCCCAAGGGTGGTGGGAGAGGGGCTCTGAAGGAAAAACAAACAAACATTGACTCACCCCAGCCTCGACTGGGGATAAAGCGGGATGAGGAATCCTCTTCCCTTTACTCCTACCCGGTTTGAGTTTAGCTTTTGAACGGCAGGGCAACAAGGTCCTCCCGCTTTGCTGGTAAGGACTTTGACAACCGGTGCCAAACGCCCCTGCCTGTTGGTCCTGCCGCCTGTCCTCCCCGGGACAGCCAGCACGGAGGCTCACTCTGCCCCAGACACAGCTGCCTCTGCACCACTGCATCCACCGAACCCAAACAAAAACCATGGGTGGTCACACGCTGTCCTTTGAACTCTGGTGGTGGATGGCAGCGTGTGCTCTTATCTCATACTGGGAGACCTGCATTTAGCCTGGCCAGGAGGAATGAAACACTAATTTCCTTTGCTCCGTTTAAAGCTTTATTTACTTAGCGCTCTGCGGGATTGGCCAAGGTAAACTAACCTGAATCTGTTCTGCTGGCACATGGATAATGTGGGAAGGCCTGTCACCATGGTGATGAACTGCATTGCTTTCTTGTTCATAAATGGCATCACGTTCAGGCTGAGGAAGACTGAGGAACCTTCGGATCATGGAGAGATTCTCCCAGAGGGTCCTGTTCTCTGGTGAGGGATCTTCTTTCCAACGTAACAGCTCACAGAGCCACCCCTTGAAGATAACACCAGCAAAACATTAGTTTTTTTCCTCACTTCACGAGGGGCAAAATGAGGGTGAAACACGTACTTTAGAGGTGCTGCATTCTTTCACGCTCTCCCCAGTAGGAAAGGGCTTTCACTGTACAGGCTGGGCTTAAAGCAAACACTGATACACCGAGAGGCTGCTGCGCTAACTCACAGATCCTTGCCAACTGCAAGCGTTTCAGAAAGCACCTTCCCTTCGGTCCTGCACCACGGCGCTGTTGCTTGCTTGCTTTGAAACAAACGGTTGCTGAAGGCAGAATCCCTTACATGCTCCCCACTGCAGGACAGGGGTTTCACTGTTGCCAGTATGTTCTCTCTGCTATTTTCAATTATGCAAGAATACACCTGCCCGAGAGCACTGACACTCAGTTTCAGGAGCTGGCTGACTGTCTGCTGGGAAAGTTTTAAAATCCTGGTACTACTACTCAAGACAAGGAAGTACTTCAAATATCTGCCTTGACTGTAGGGCTGCCTAATGTATATCTTAGAGGTAGAGGAGCTCCCTAATGTCCTTTGAAAAGACAGGAATACTTTCACTAGACACAGACAAGTGGTATCTTCTTCCTATACGCTACAAGTAGAGGTGCCTCTGCAGGTGAACTTCTTTCAAGGGACAGATGATTATCTGTTTCAGGATTTTTCTCATAGACCCAGAAAAAACCCTACTCTCTCAGTTTTATGTACACTATCAAGTCTAGGGAGGAGGGAGTCGGGAGGGAAGCAGGATATGCTCAAGCTTCTGGTGCACCCTTTATACCATTTCCACATCAGAGGACAGCAAGCTGCCCTCGAAGTTAGACATGGTTTTGGGATACATACTACAAAGTCAGCTACAGAATCCCCCACAAGAACTGCAGTGGTTGCTAATTTGCTTCTAAAAGACACATATAAATTCATCTTGAAAATTTAACAATTGTTTTCTTAAATTGTCTTCTTAAAATTTGAGGATATTTTTCTTAACTGTATACTGGTAGCTTTAAAAGAAGAGTGAAGACACTCTAGCTACCACAGTGTGCATCAGCAGCAATTTTTTGGTATATTAAAATTTAGAAACAAAATATTACATGTATAAAACATGCATACTTCCTTTCTTTTAGCTTCAAGGAAGGATCTGTTTTCAAAACTAGGTCCATGCAATTTTATTTCTTAATGCTGTAGGAAAGATAATGTGACATTTTATTGAATCAACAAATAATATAAATGTACAGAAGCTTTTAGATCTTTTTTATATGTACTGGTAGTTGGAAGATGGTTTATCCAGACTAGTTTACTAATAGATACAATAGAGACATTGATAAAATATAGATGTGTGTTTTCTTGAAGACATTCATATATTTAGCTAACAGTTAATAAATGCAGTGTAAAAATATTGCCACAATAGGAAGAGGTGAAAGTAAACAAACAATCTTAATGCAATCATATTGTGTACGGAAATATTTAGTGAGGTGTGTATAAAAATTTGAAGTATATTCTCTTGGATATAAGTGGAAAACTGAACAAATGACATAGGAGAAAATGCCCCCGAGAAACAGAAATAATCAAAATGACAAATGTTAGAGAGATGCTGGTAGCAGAGAAGAGAAAGCAAAAATTTAAATGGCACCAAAATCTACCGGGTGCTCGCTAGGTGTGCGAGGGAGGCAGCAGAGTGGTGGCAGCAGAAGGACCCCCATGCAGCCCATTCCTTGACCACACACTAAGGGTGGACACTGGCTACCGCCCCAGGGTTTAGCAAGCTGAGTGGGAAACGTGGCCAAATGCCTTCCTATAGAGCACGTAACATACATCCTGTCCCAGCAGGAACTGTATGGCACGCTTTTAAAACTGCAGCGAGGGTCTATGGATTCTCTCTCCCCATTGTAAGGCACCCTATTAGCAGGCTAATGTATAAACTCCCCTGACTAACAAAATCAACTTGTTGCTCGTGGTTCTCTGCCCACCTTGCTTCCATGGGTATATCTGCTGGATTATGCTCAGTATTAGTTTTCTGCAGTGAGTTAAAACACATGCAATCAGAAAACATAGGTAGTTTGTGGGGGGTGGAGGAGAGAAGATAATGAAGGAAAGCAAATCTAGATATTTTAATTGAAATGCAGTTCTGAAATTTTTAATTAAACCAACCAAACAAAATAAACCAACCAAACAAAAAAAAAAACCAAACCCATTTCCCACCTCAAAAAAACCCCAAGCAAACAAAAAAACCCCAATGCCCCTCCCATAAAAAAAACCAACCCAAAACCCAACACAGACACAGAAATAACCCGCCTATCCTGAAGCATAAAAGTTGTCCTTTGGTTGTCTGGAGTTTGCAGTTTCACACTGAAACTGTTGGCCTTCTTTCTAATGGTAGTAAAATAGGGAGCAGAGCTGACTATTGCGAGAGATTGGTGAAAGTGAAAAAAGACAAGACAACCTGTCCCCTTCCATGGCACCTATTCAGACAGACCGGAAAAGAAATTGCACCATGCATTTAGAAGCTACACGTATTTTGCCTGGTGTTCATGTGACCAGATATTTTTTTCGAAAAGAAAAGATGGTTGAAACTGTTTTAAAATGGCCAATACTAAAAATAATTCCTAAGCAATCACCTTTTGTGTTGATAAAACATATTTCACAACAATTTTTGTTAACTAAGAAATTCCTTCTCTCCTTACTGTCTTTTCTGTTTCTACATTTACTAGATCAGACCTTATTTTTATTAATTACTGATGGCTTGGCTAACATTATATTTCCAGTATTTCTCTATCAACTTGTGCCCTGAAATAATACTTCTAATTCCCTGTGTAAAAATGATTTGATGAATTGTAACCTGAAGCATGTCTCTGCTAGCCTTCCACGGAAGCAGCGATTTTTAGATAATGAAATCGGATGCTTCTGACACAGTACACAGAATAGACTGATACTTTACCAAAATGTCTTTTGCACAGCATTCATCACATTTTTAAAGAAGTAGACATACTCTTATGAAATATATGATGGACCACATGGAAACAACCAACCGAATTCTTCTAAAATTACAAAGATACAAACAGGTTTTTTTGTCTTCATGGTGTTCCCGAAAATACTTATGAAAGTTGATCTCACAAATATTCTCACAACAGATAGCGAATGGGCAGTACCAGAGGCTGTAGGGCTTTATTTTGTTAAGAGACTAAAAACTTTGCACGAATATGCTTTGTTTTGACTCAAATTGACCAAAAATCCCCATATTTCATCTAGTTTCAGGCTCAGAATTCTGACATAAAGCTCATTCATAAAAGTCAGCTAAATGAGAATGCATGAAATGTTTTTGTAAATCTTAAGAAATGTAATCATACAGACTTTTCTAGTGGTGAATTTTAAGCTCTGTAAAATTTTCAAGTTTTGTTTTGTTTCCATTTGACTTAAAGAAGTATAAACTGCTGTAGTTAATGCAGTTCAATTTACAAGTGAATGTACCAGGGCTGATTTTTCTCTTCTAATACTCATGTAAGTCTACAGCAATTTCTGCCTAGTTCAAACAATTTGTTTTGAAGGAGGGCTTGGGTTTTTTGTTTGTTTGTTTTCCTTATAGTCTTAGAGGAAGTGGAAAGGACCACCACAAAACAGTAAGTAAATCTTTGTAACTCAGATTAAACCACAACCTGTTTATACAGCATATATAGTCCATCATTAAAAAAACAGCCTTAAAATAATTAAGCTGATATATCTATGCAGTAAGGCAAACCCCCCAAAACTCTGCAACGACATTGGGAACAACCTTGATTTTAAAACAGAGTAAATTTGCCAGGCAACATTACACTGAATATAAAGAGAGTACAAAGCAAAATATAAACATTAGCCACATGTAAATATGTTTGGAGAACTTTCAGGATGTTACTACTTTTCAAACTGACAAAGTTTAATTTGACACCTTCTGTTCTAAAACCTTTGTTTCTATTCAAAATCACGCCTTTAGCTGCTATCAATCACTATGCTCTCCCTATTACTTAAAATACTGGCATGGGCCCTGGATAAGCTGAAAATGCCATGCAGATGAATTCTGAGATAATATGTTCAAACCTGTTATATACAACACAAATCCTGTAAAGTTATGTATTGTAAACCTACATTTATTGGGAACTAAAAGTCTTAAATCCATCTGCTACAAAGAAAATACTGTTATGCACTTTCAAGTAACCAAGTACCATCTGCAAAGGTCTTGCTACAGTAAGCAAGAAAATGGTGAAAAAAAAAAAAAAGATGCTAAACCTAAGATATTTAAAATAAATAAGAGTCTTCTGTCTGGTTTTCTGATAGGGATTTAGTAAAGAAACATAAGACATTAGGAGAAAAAAACCTGTGAAAGCCGAACTGCCAAGCTATTGCTGGAAAAGCGCAAAGAGGATAACTGCCAAACATTAGACTCTGCAAGGCCCATGAGCATGCTTATTTAAAAGAAAGCATCTATGCTTTTTATCTGTGTACCCAAATGCTATTTTATTCAGCCTGACCTGTGTTGTTTTTAAATAAAATCTGCTCTTTCACATAGAGTTTCTAACAAATTATTCCTGCATTCTAGTGTCTTTCTTATTAAAAGAAAAATGAAAGAGAGAAATGAAATCTGCACTTAAGGTGTAAATACCCTAACTAGATCAAAGAGGGTAGCATTACAATCATGAAAAATATTCTCTGGGCAAAGCTTTTCAAATCAGCAACAAACACATCTAGTCTGCGAAAAAAGGGCTTCAAGGTAGAACAACTAAACCCTTTTAATTTGGTGATTTTGTTATAGTGATAAAAATTTGCTAACTGATTAATATTTCTTACAGAATAACTAACAAAGACTCCTCATTCTTTAGAAGAGCTGTAATTTGCCTAAAAAGGCAAAACATTTTAGAGTATCGCTGCTAAGACATGAACAGTTTTTCTCTGGTATAGTATATCTAAGATTATTTTGTATCATTCTCTGGGGCATATAGTATAATAAAAATATATGGTGTTAAAAGA